GTTCTCTTTCTGCCTGCAACTGCAGGTCCATTCAAGGGGACTGAAGCTGGGAATCTACAGTGATGTTGGGAACAAGACGTGTGCTGGCTTCCCTGGCAGTTACAACCACTACGACCTGGATGCCCAAACTTTTGCCTCCTGGGGTGTGGACCTGCTGAAGTTTGACGGCTGCAACTCTGGCACACTGGAGCTGCTGGCAGAAGGTGGGCATGGGCTCGAGGCAGCACTGCACCACGAGATGAGAGTTGTAGAACACTGGAACAGGTTGCCCAGAGAGGTGGTGGATGCTCCATCCCTGGAGACGTTCAAGGCCAGGTTGGATGAGGCCCTGAGCAACCTGATCTAGTTGGAGATATCCCTGTTCGTTGCAGGGGGGTTGGACTAGATGACCCTTGAAGGTCCCTTCCAGCCCTAACCATTCTATGATTCTATGGGAATATTCTGCAGGCAGCAGCAATTCTAGGCCCAAGGGGGGCTCCAGGGAGTTGCTTTTCCCTGAGCATACTCATTTAAGGGATTTAGTTACTAAAGCAGGTATGAGACTCTGTTCCCAAGCCCAAGGTAGTGAATGTTGCTGGTGCAGGTGTTTTTTACCTGTTCATCCTCCTGGAGCTTTCACAGCTGTGCACAGCTTAAAAAAGCAGCTTTCTCACACCAGAAACCACATCGTGCCAAGCACAGGAACATTGACTGTGTACTCTGAGGGCTCTTTGCAGACTGCTGCCTCAGCTCTTAATGCAGTTCTGCAGGGCGTTTACTGGAAAGCTCAAAGTGTTTCACACTTAATCCCTTTGGAGAGGCCATGTTGATGTGGATCAGCTTGAAGTTAGAACAGCTTGTGTCAGCTGTAAAAAGGGCAGTTATCAGGCCTATTAACAGGAAAAAAAACCAAAAGGGAATTCTTGGCATGAAAATCCTACTGGGGTTTTCATTTTAAAGCATGTCATTGTAAATCCCAGTTCTGAAGTTACTTGCACACAAGCTGGCAAGTCAGCAGCTGAAAGCTCAGTAGCTCACTGTGCCGAGGGGGTTTGGCTACAGACTCTCTGCAAGCACAAGCAAATCCCAGTGCCACAGGAGCAGATTTCTGTGAAGAATGATGCAACTCAGAAGGCGATTTTCTCTTGACTGGGCTCTCGCTGCTGGCACAGTCACACTACGGTGTTTGGCAGCAGG